AAATAAATAAATAAATAAACAAATAAATAAATAAATAAATAAATAAATAAATAAATAAATAAAATGATATATTTAACTGTCTTTGTCCACATTATTTTTGACCTATCAAGTTCTCTAAACAATCCAGGGTTGTTTACTTTGGGGTGGGGGAGAGATGTCTATAAAATACTTCTGTATGTTGAGCTAGAGTACACAAAGGTTATGTTCTGCAATTCTGTTGCGTACCTCCAGCCTGGAGATTTGACATGTTTCCTCTTCCTTTTGGCTTCCCTGTCTCTTCTGTCTTTGCCTTTCTTCACAGGAAGGCAGCCAAGCGAGAGATTCTCCTTTGTGACTATGACGGTTGTGGGAAAATTTTCTCCAATCGCCAATACTTGAATGTAAGTGATGGAGGAACAGCAGTGGTCACCAGTCTCTTGGGCTGGATACAGGTGACTGACAGAACTTCCATGTCTCATTTAAATTTTCCAAAGTGTCAGTACTTTGGAGGCAAGCAGCAGAGTGACACTTTCTATAATGCACTGTTTGTTGGCTTCTGGCTGGACTAGGAGTACTGAAGTTAATAGAAGACTACAAATCAGGGGTGAAATCCAGCAGGTTCTTACAGGTTCTGGAGAATCTATAGCGGAAATTTCAAGTAGTTCGGAGAACCTGCGAATGTCACCTCTGGCTGGCCCCAGAGTGGGGTGGAAATGGAGATTTTGCAGTATCTTTCCCCTGGAACGGAGTGGGAATGGAGATTTTGCAATATCCCTCCCTTGTCATTCCCACTCCAACCAAGCCACACCATGCCCTCCTAGCCACCCCCATAGAGCCAGTGGTAAAAAAAATTAAATTTCACCACTGCTACAAATCTTAGAATTTATAGCAGGAAAAATTCCCCCTTTACTTTAGAAGCATCATCCAGAGAGATAGAAGGAATGCATGGCCCAGCTACTACAGAATCTCATCATTGTGTATGCCATATGCTACTAATCTATGCCAGTGGTTCTCAACCTGTGGTCCCCAGACCCTTGGGGGCCTGTAGTGTCATTAGAGGGGGTCCTTGAAGAAAGATTGTGATTTAAATCTTAAGTCTTTGGGGGGGAGGGATGTCCATGGCCACAAAAGGTATTTAAAGGGAGTCCATAATGAAAAAAAGTTTGAGAACTACTGATCTAAGCTAAGGCGCGGTACAGATTTTAGAGCCTTATATTCCCTCTGGGCTATTTTTTCCCCATCTTCCAGCACCACAAGAAATACCAGCATGTTCACCAAAAGACCTTTACCTGCTCTGATCCAAGCTGTGGCAAATCCTTCAACTTCAAGAAACATCTCAAGGAACATGAGAAACTGCACAGCGGTGAGCAATCTGTGTCTTTCATCCGACTGGTGCCTGCTAAAAGTTTTGAACTGCAGCTTTCATTGTCCTTGCAGTCTGCCTAAATCAAAACGTCTTGGACCAGCCCTGATTGTAGTATTGGGGAGAAAAGAATTATAGGTTGCCAGTATCTATTATGAAGGATGTGCCTTTAGGATCAGGCTGGCCGGTGACTTATTGTGCCCTTTACTTGCAGATAAAAAGGACTACATATGTGAGTTCTGCGCCCGCTTCTTCCGAACAAGCAGTAATTTAATTATCCACAGGCGGATCCACACCGGAGAAAAACCCCTACAGTGAGTATGCTCCACAATGCTTTCCCCTATTGCAGAAATGACTTGAGCACAATCAGGATCACTCCCATCAAATCCAGCCTCCTCCTTCTCGCAGTCATCAACTGAGAAGCCTTCCCAGTAAATCGTAAAGCAGATGGTTTTCTCAATCACACTTTCTAGGCTGCAGACATGAATACAGGTAGTCCTTGACTTATTATCATCCCAACATTTTTATTTTTATTTTTTTATTTATTTTAATTTGTCAAGGAAACAAGTAGGAAAAACACATGAAAAAAATGGCACAAATAAATGGATAAAAATAAGCAAAACATAGCCATAAGCACATAAAGTGAGTACATATAAATGGGGACAGTAGGACAGGGACGGTAGGCACACTGGTGCACTTATGCACACCCCCTTAGGGACCTCTTAAGAAAGGCGTAAGGTCCACAGTAGACAGATTAAAGTAAAAGGTATGGGGGTTAGAGGAACTAACAACAGGATCAGATAGAGTGTTCCACACATTTATTATTGTATTGCTGAAATCGTTTTCCCTGCAATTATGCTTAGAACGGATTACATTTAGTTTGTATCTATTGATAGCCCTTGTGTTATTGCAGTTGAAGTAAAAGTAGTCATTAACAGGTAGGAAGTTATGGCAGATTATCTTGTGCACTAAACTCAGGTAGGAATGTAGACGGTGGTAGTTCAAGATTATCCAGGCCTAAAATTTCAAGCCTGGTAGTATACGGAATTGTATTACGAGCAGAGGAGTTGAGTACTCTTCTTGTAAAATACCTCTGGACCCTCTCTAATGTTTTAATGTCCGAAATGCAGTGTAGGTTCCAGGCAAGTGAACAGTATTGTGAACATATATATATATATTTATAATGGCTCCATTAACTAAACAGGTTTTTTTTTTTAAAAACAAAAACAAGCAACTAGCTTCCACATAGGGAGCAGAGATATTTGAATTGGTGGCTGCTCCTGAGGTTATCCACATGGTGTTGATTTTCTACTCTGCTTCATCAAGTTAGTCATCCAGCCAGAGCCATTATAAATATATATATATAT